CATTGAAGTACAGGCTGTGGGATGGCTCTAGGCAGTCAGCAGCACTCAGCAAGTACAGCTCAGCCACAGTGGAGAAATCAGGGGGCTCCAGTGCTTCCCGCAGCAGCTGGAAGAAGTGCTGTGTGGCCAGCAGAACTGTCTTTTTCTGAATAGTATTGAGAGGCCCACTGACATGGCTCTCCCGGTGGATCTGGGCCAGGACATGGCTGTAGTGAGTCAGTGTGGGGAGCAGGACCACCCCAAGGTGTTGCAGGAGGTCTCCATATACAGCCACATGGGGGTCAGGTGTGAGGAGATAGGGGTAAAAGTCAGCCTCATCTGGAAGTGATGTCACCACTTTCCATGGCACAGCCATGTCCCCTGACTTGGCCAGCACCACAGGCAGCTCAGCGAGGCGCCCTGTGTCCACCTCCTTCAGATGGGTCTGCAAGAAGTTGTACACCTTCTGGAGCACAGTGGCCCGTGTGTTCACCTGCTGTGGCGTCTGGCAGGCTGCTCTGCACACCTGCTCCAGGTTGGCTACCACCAGGGCAGTGGGTATCTCTGTATGGACTCCTATGGCCTTCAGGAGGTCCTGCTTGAATGCCATGTCTCCTGACTTTGGCAGGATGGTGGCTGATGTCCACAGGAGCTCAGCCACATCTTCTTGGCAGTGGTAAACGCTGCCCTTCAGGGCCACGGGCTTACTGCAGGCTGCAAAAGGGGGGTGGAGGTTCATCAAGTCTGGGGGGATGTCCAGTGGAGGCAGGAAGTGGATTGAGGCAATTTGGCCCAGGAAACCCTCTGATAAGGGATTGTCCAACAGGGTGCCAAGCTTGTTGAACATCACTTGCTGTCGCATCAGCAGGTCTTCAGTGTGGCACCTAGCCTGACTGGCTTCATGCTCTATCTCCAGGGCCAGTGCCACAAAATCCTCCACAGAGAGGCTGGTGCGGACACCTGCCTGAAGCAGGAAGTCCTTAGCAGCTTCCTGGTTGTAACCTAGCTCCACAAAGAAAGACTCAGGCACAAAGCGGTGTTGGAGCCGCAGAGTGCAGAAGCAGGACGTGTTATTGTAGAAGTAGGAGGCCAGACGCAGCACACCATGGACATCAGGTATAAAGGCCACAGTCTGAAAAGCTGCCACAACATCTTCCTTGAATTTAATGTCACAGGTGTGTTGCAGGGCAAAGAACAAGCGCACAGCTTCCATAAGCTCTTGCGCTGTGAGCTGGGACAGTCGGGGCAGCACCACATCCATGAAGAGCTGCCGGTCATCTTTGAGCTCCCACTGCAAATCCTTGGCCAGCTGCCGGTGAATCTGGTCTGCTGTGAGCAGCAACGTGCCCTTCTCCAGGCTGTACAGGGCTTGGGCACCCGGGGGCAGTTCTGGGAACCGGCTGTTGAGCAACAGCACCTTGTGGTAGGGTGCCACAGCGACGTAGTCCCCACCATACTTCCGGAAGAGAGGCAGGAGCTGGAGCTGCCCCAGTGCGAATGAATCCAGTTTTCCTTGCATGAAGTGCAGCAGGACAGTTACATCCCACTCGTTTAAGTCTCTCCAGTGGAGATTATCTCTGGTGTCTGCCAGCTGGGCCAGCACAGCCCTGGGCTCTGTGGCCTGCAGTGCCCTTTTCTTCAGGCAGTGGTAGGCAAAGTTAAAAGGCAGCAGGGACTGCTGGAGCACAGGGATGCCCAGTCTGTGCAGCACTTTGGCCACGTCTGTGTCACACTCAAAAAGAACATTGGGGAGGGAGGATAGTGGCAGTAGGTTCTTCAAGCCTCTCTCACTCCCCTGAACAGGCAGCACCACCACATCCTGGAGATGATCCATGAATGACTTCACATCTGCCTCCACCTTCTCTTTGGGCTTCGTAGCTGTGTAGACCACAGTGCCGAAGAACCTCCACAGCTCCTTGAGCCACTTCTTTGTGGTCTGGTTCAGCTGAGCCAGTGCCTCCTGGATGAGTGGTCTGGCCTCCAGGAGGCCAAGCTCCTTCACAAAGCAAGGCAAGGTCAAGTCAGAAATGGATTTGTCAGCAAAGCGGTGGCAGTGGTGGGGGAAGAGATGGGCAAAGGAACTGTGGAAGACTGGGTGGTGAATGCTGAGGGTATTCAGGCAGCCATCTTGTGTGGCCAGCAATGGCAAGCCTTCCAGTTGTGCCTTGTCCACATCCCTGGACTCCAGG